GATTTAATCCAAACAGCTCCAGGAATCAGACTGATACACAAGTGGCTGATTTAATCCAAACAGCTCCAGGAATCAGACTGATACACAAGTGGCTGATTTAATCCAAACAGCTCCAGGAATCAGACTGATACACAAGTGGCTGATTTAATCCAAACAGCTCCAGGAAACAGACTGATACACAAGTGGGTGATTTAATCCAAACAGCTCCAGGAACCAGCCTGATACACAAGTGGCTGATTTAATCCAAATAGCTCCAGGAATCATACTGATACACAAGTGGCTGATTTAATCCTAATAGCTCCAGGAACCAGCCTGATACTCTCATCATTCCTTCTCTAATTAACAAGTGATTGGTAAATTAAGCGAATAAGGAAATAATAAGAAAGGGTGGAATTGCTGTTGATATTGATTACTCATCAGGACTGAACTTTCATGTGATGTTAGTCTTCTTTTCTTACTTCCTGGGAAATCACTACAATTAAACATAACCATGTTAAAAACGTAATGTTTCTCATTCATCGAAATCAGTCAGCAAATGCAAATATCTAATAATTTTTGGAATATTTTTTTTAAATGCTGGGTAAGGTAAAGTATAAAATCACCTTATGAAACACTAATACCGCTTAATTAAGTATTACAGCAATGTTCACGTTGTCTTAACTATTTCCAAATTATTTATCTGTCAATGGTTTATAGCCTTTGTATATCTCTTGGTAAATGTATATTGTTTGTCTATTTGTTTGTATTTATTTCCTTCTTATTTCGTTATTTTGAAGTTAAAGTAAATTTGATTTTTTATAACCTCTTTCATATTTATGTTTGCATGAAATTAGTTGATGTTTCTTTAAATATAAGATTAAGAAAAAACGGAAAACAACTTACTTGGCCATTTCACTCAGCTGCAGTTTTCCATCTTTGTTGGTGTCGAAGATTTGAAGCTGTAGAATAGCACATGTAAATAGTTATGAACACTTTCCAACCAATAAGAGTTCGGAAAATATGACAGAAGTAACAAAGGTAGTAAAGCATGACAAACAATACGAAAACACAGGTAATATGAAGACACTTAAAGACCGCGAAAACACTAAAATACAACAAATACCATAAAATGCGGAAGTTCAGCAAAGCCCACAAAGACTTCGAAAGTTCAATAAACATAGCAAACGTATCGAAGTTCAGCAAAGAATATAAAGATTTAAAGAAAAATAAAAAAAGGGTCACAAATACGTTGAAGTTCAACGATGATATAAAAACAGTGAAGATTAACAAAGACATTGGAAATAAAGACTACATAGACATTGACAGTTCAACAAAGACATTGAAGATCAATAACGACTATGAAAACATTTGAAGTTCCACGAAGTCCAAAAATACATTGATATTAACCTAATCGTAAAATTCACTGAATTTCAACAAGGGAAAAATAAGATATGAAATCGTAAATGTATCAGATGGAATTTAAATGAGGGAAATTTTTTGAGGCATCACGCAGATACAAAACGGACTCGCGAACTCCGATATCAAGAGTTTTACTACAAGGCCAAACCGCGCCTAAAGGTAGGGAAACATAAAAATTAGCATAGGATATTGAAGCATGTAATTAGGGTTAAAAATACATTGAAGTTTAAAATATTTCTGAAGAAAAAAACTGTTAAAAGAGTGCACGAAAATGTTGAAAAATAACAAAAAGCACATTGAAAATAAGCTTTTAGAATCCTATTTTGTAAGTTTGAAAAGTAAACACTAGAGCTGTTCTTAAAGGTATATTTTCTAACACCAAAGAGGGTGACAATTGTTTCATATAATAATTATATTACAAAATAATTAGGATTATATAAAATATTTAAAGAAGCCAACACTCGCAGGCGGATGCAACAAGTCTCCGCCACCTAATCCCAACATTGATCAATTTTGACATTATACAAATCGTGAAAACAGAGAAAAATCAAAAACTGTCAAAAGCACTGATTGGGACTTGCAAGAAGGTATCTTTAAAACAAATCCCATGTACGTTGATTGACATGCACATAAATAGTTCATGAAAAACCCCAAATTGTACTTTCCTCGATGAAAAATCGAGCAAAATACAAAAATTCTAAAATTGTCTATATTTCTGTTTTGGGCCTGTAAAAAGTGCCTTTGTACTAAATTCCATGTAAATTGTCAAAACCCCTAAAACTGTGCTTTTTGTGACATCTTGACCCCCCTATAATTACCAAAAATGGGAAACTCCACCATTTTCGTTTGTTAATGTATGGAACCTGAGAAAAGTATTTTTGTACCAAATTTCATGTAAATTTGTTAAAATACAGCCTAGCAATTGACCAAAAACCTCAAAATTATGCTTTCTTGTGAGCACTCACTCCCTAAAAAGACTCAAAATGGGCAAATCAACTTTTTGATAAGGCATTGTGTTGGACGCATAAAATTTTATATTTGTGCCAATTTTCGTCTTGGTTGCTGTAAATATCACCGCACAAGAGCACAAAATATACATTTTTGAGTTTTTTACATTTGACCGTATAAAATCCTTAAAAATTCCCAAATAATCAAGTTATAACCTTGTTTAACAACAAAACAAACAATAAACTAATGTCAGATGCGGCCTAGTAGTTAGCGTGCCAAGCTGTGGATAGGAAAGTCCAAAGTTTGAACCTGTCATATAATTTTACTCACTCCCCCCCCCTCAAACACACACATTTACGTGTATATGGTTGCTGCTCATTGGTTCCACTCCCTCTGTTCAGCAGTTTTAAATTAGAGGAGGCTATTTCTGAGTCTTAGTGTCTTTGATGACCCAGCCACTTAGCCCTATGCATCCCATAAGTTGCGGTTGAAAATACCAAATACTGGCTACAGTATTCACGTACTTATAAGTACTCATGCTTGACGTGTAGTTTCCATCCCTTCTTCCTTCATTTGTTACCATTTTTGAGCATTGATTCCACGTTAAACGAAGGTAACCATTTGATTTATTACGTACACAGCGTGGTCACAAGTAAATAGACACAACCTTTTCAGCAAAAAATGAACTTTTTCAGTCATATTCACATGAATTGATATATTTATAATTTAATTAATATCTAGTAGATCTTCCTTTCGCTTTGTGGAGTTCGTTGATCCTTTGGGGCATCGTGAGAATCATCTCGTCAATTTTAGATTGTGGGATTTTCGCCCACTCTTGCTTCAAAACTTGGACTAGATCGCTCTTCGAAGTTGGTTTTTTGGTTGTTTCTTGACTTACCGTTCGAGTATGGCTCAGAGGTTTTCGATGGGGTTCATGTCAGGAGATTGGCTCGGCCAGGACAACTACTGAATACCATTTTCTTCCTGATACTTTTGGGTGTTTCTAGCAGTGTGACACGGTGCTCCATCTTTCTGG